AGGAGGAGGAGGAGGAGGAGGGAGGAGGAGGGGAGGAGGAGGAGGAGGAGGAGGAGGAGGAGGAGGAGGAGGATGGGACATGAGGAGGACGGGTCGCCTAAGCCCTTCGGAGAAACCCTCCACCTGCTCGCACCCCCGACTTAAACTCAACACGCCTGTCTCGCAGGCGGCCTCCAGAACACAGCGCGGCAGGCATCCGAGAACCCGGCAGAGGTCCCGCCCCCCCGCCGAGCGGCAGCCGACGCGGCAGGGCGGAGCGCTGTGCCGCCAGGCTTGAAGGGCTGCCTGATGTGCTGGGGGCCGCAGCTGCCGGCGGAGGCCGGGTGCCCTGGTGAACGTTTTTCCCAACCATCCTGTGGTGTTGGGTCCTCGTTTTGAAGAGACGGTGGCCCGCGTCTCCTCTCCTCTCCTCCTCCTCCCTCCTCTCCTCCCTCTCCTCCTCCTCCTCCTCCTCCTCCCTCCTCCTCCTCTCCTTCTCCCCCTCCTCCTTGCGTTTCACCCACCCACACAGCGTTTCAGCCCCATAGGGAGCTCCACCGAAGGCCCCAGTGGCAGGGTTCGCATGGCGGCCCCGCCCATTTTGGCGCACCCCTCACAGTGGCAGGGTTCGGGAGCTCCACCGAAGGCCCCAGTGGCCTCGGGCCATTTCGGCACACCCCTCACGAGGATCGTGGCCCCATAGGGAGCTCCACGAAGGCCCAGTGGCAGCGTTCGCATGGCGGCCTCGGGCCATTTTGGCGCACCCCTCACGAGGATCGTGGCCCCATAGGGAGCTCCACCGAAGGCCCCAGTGGCAGCGTTCGCATGGCGGCCCGGGCCATTTCGGCACACCCCTCACGAGGATCGTGGCCCCATAGGGAGCTCCACCGAAGGCCCCAGTGGCAGCGTTCGCATGGCGGCCCCGCCCCATTTCGGCGCACCCCTCACGAGGATCGTGGCCCCATAGGGAGCTCCACCGAAGGCCCCAGTGGCAGCGTTCGCATGGTGGCCCCGCCCCATTTTGGCGCACCCCTCACGAGGATCGTGGCCCCATAGGGAGCTCCACCGAAGGCCCCAGTGGCAGCGTTCGCATGGCGGCCTCGGGCCATTTCGGCACACCCCTCACGAGGATCGTGGCCCCATAGGGAGCTCCACCGAAGGCCCCAGTGGCAGCGTTCGCATGGCGGCCTCGGGCCATTTCGGCACACCCCCACGAGGATCGTGGCCCAGAGGGAGCTCCACCGAAGGCCCCAGTGGCAGCGTTTCGCATGGTGGCCCCGCCCCATTTTGGCGCACCCCTCACGAGGATCGTGGCCCCATAGGGAGCTCCACCGAAGGCCCCAGTGGCAGCGTTCGCATGGTGGCCCCGCTCCATTTTGGCGCACCCCTCACGAGGATCGTGGCCCCATAGGGAGCTCCACCGAAGGCCCCAGTGGCAGCTTTCGCATGGCGGCCTCGGGCCATTTCGGCACACCCCTCACGAGGATCGTGGCCCCATAGGGAGCTCCATCGAAGGCCCTAGTGGCAGCGTTCGCATGGCGGCCTCGGGCCATTTCGGCACACCTCTCACGAGGATCGTGGCCCCAGAGGGAGCTCCACCGAAGGCCCCACTGGCAGGGTACGCACGGCAGCCCCGGGCCACTGCGGCACATCCCTCACGAAAATCGTGGCCCCATAGCTGTGCTGCTTCAACAACCGCGCCTGGGCGTCGTACTCCGCCTTGTCGACGTGCAACGCCACCTCCTCCCTCATGGCTCTCAAGGCCCTCTCCTGCTTCTGCTCCTCGGTGAGAGGGACCCCGTCCTTGTCGTCGTCGGCGCCCGCGAAAACGGCCACGAACATGTCCCTGAGCATGTCGGGCTCTGGCGGGAAGCCGTGGCCACATGGGGAGCGCGGGCGACGATGGAATTCACAATTGCGGTATTCACAACTGCATATGGTTGGGTCCTTCGCCAGGCTATTTTTTTGTTCGGCGTTTCGACATTAGGCGGAAAGGGGGGTTGGGAGGGAGGGGTCTGGCTCCAGACCTCTGCTTAGTGCGACTGTTTGCAAGAGTGCTGCCTCTGGGGGAGACTCCACCCTCTCGGAACAGGTGCCCCCCAAACAGCCAAGATCTACTCCATGGGGGGGAGGGAGGGTTTGGGAACCCGCTCCGATCGGTCAAACACTGAATAAAAAATGATCACCCGAGCGATCCCCGCCTCTCGATGCTTCGATGGTCGTCGACATTTGCTTTTCGAGGCTCGGATGCATCTTATACCCGCACATGAATATTCCACGGCTCAGGCCCCAGGACCGTCGAGAAACGGATCCCGAGTGAGAGGGGGGCCAATGGCCAGCATGGACCCCAGGAGGGGCCCGCGACCCGGCTCCGCCCGCGGGACAACCACAGGACATGATGCGCGGGACCTCCGCGGGACGGCCGCAGGGCTGCCGCTCGTTTATTGCACGCGCGCGCACGTTCGCGCGGTGTGAAAATGTATGATGTTTTGACTCGCGGGTCGAGAGCGCACCTCTTCCGGTCGAAGCTAAGCGGGCCGCGCGAAGCTTGAATTAACAAGGAGGGGGGGACAGAAGGAGGGGCCTCACGTCAAGGCCAGGAGGACGAGCGGTGTGAAAATACACAGACTCTCTCATTTTCCAGACATCACCGATTCCTATCATTTACAATGGTCACTGTTTTCAGATGCGAACGACGTCGCCCATGTATTCCTCGCACCGCCCTAACTTGTTACTTTATATATGGACCCCTCGGGACTTCGCCAACGGGCGTTTCGCCAAACGGGGCTTGGGCTTTCCATCTGCCCCCGTTTACTGTGCCCCGGGCCCCCTGAACGCGGGCATGGCCAAACGTGAAAATCGGCGTTCTCCGTGCACCCGTTTGCTGTGCCCCTGTCTCTGGCGTTAGGTCGGGCCCGCCCCCCTACAGGGGGATTTTCGAGGAAAATCCAAAATACCCGAACAAAATAATTACTCCCCAAGTAACAAAAAATAGTCAATACGCCCCAGAAAATCAAAAATACGCCCCAAGTAACAAAATAATAACAATAATTACTACCCGAACACAATACGCCCCAAATAATCAAAAAAATAATACAAACATCGTCCCCAGGCTATTTCCTGACTGGTGTCGAATCTTCCCCCTGCAGAGGAGCAGGCCCGACCCCACCCCGGCGCCCGGAGCCCCTGGAGCGGGACGGGAAGATGGCTACAGCCACTGCCTCTTGTTTGCGCCGCCTTCCAGCCAGCCGAAAAAGAGGCAGTGGCAGGCGCCCCCAAAGTCGAATCGACAAGTCGAGTCGGCGATCGCAATGAGTCGGATCGGCGGAAATCGGCAGCCGAGTCGGGAGAAGTCGAATCGGCGGAAATCGGCAGGCTAGTGTGCCTCCAATAAGAAATCGGAGCCCAAATCGGAATCCGAAGTCGAATCGAATCGGAATCGAAAACCATCGAAATCGAATCGAATCGAATCGGAGGAATCGAAACGAGCCCTGCTCAGTGGCTGTGGTCACCTCCCTGGTGCCAAGCTCAACGAAAATGACCACAACCACTGCTTTGTTTCTGCGGGTTGGAAGGCGGCAACAAAAAAAAAGCACTGGCTGTGGTCGTTTTCACGCCCCGTATGGAGGGGAGGAAAATCCAAAATATCCCAACAAAATATTCCCCAAATAATCAAAAATAGTACAAACATCGCCCCCAGACTATTTTCTGACTACTGTTGGATCTTCCTCCTGCAGAGGACCAGGCCCGACCCCACTCTGGCGCCCCGAGCCCCTGGAGGGGCCCGCGAGCCCGCTGCGCTCAGTCCACCCTGGCTTGGGCCACGGCCTGCGGCGGCGCCACGCCGCGGTGGCGCCGCCGCCGCCCGGCTCTGGGCGCCGCCCCGGCCCAGCACGCCCGACGGGGCCCTGGGACACACAGATAAATACACACACGCATAAATACACACATAAATACACACAAATAAAAAAATCCCAATATTTTCCAATATTTTTTGGGTTTTTGTCTTCCCCCCCACCACTTCCCATACTTTTGCATATTTTTTCATGGGAGTCGACGATTCATTGTGTCTGTGTGCTTCTTTCCCTCCTGCACGCCCGCGGCTGTCCGCTGGCGCAGATCCTTCGCAACCAGCCGGTTCGCCCCGCGGGCGTCGCCCGCGCCCTGGGGGGTCGCCGCGCCACGTCGGCACGGTGGGCGACCACCTACCAGGCCACCCCAACCCGACCCGAAGGCCCGAACTTCGGGTCGGGGAGGGTGCGGGGGCTGCCGAGGTGTGTCTTTGTTCCGGATGTTCCCCGGCCCCCCTCACCACTGGAAGTGGAGGGCGAATCGGGGCCCTCGGGTTGGGTTGGGGTGGTCCGGTGGGCGGTGAGCGGGAACCTGCCGCCCCCATGCGAGGCCCTGATTCTTCGATGCGCGGCTCCGAGAAGTCCAAAGCCTTTTCCCAGGCCTGGCTTTTTCCGTCCCGAGGCGTTTTTTGGCGGCCCCGAGGCCCAGCGAGGGCCCCCCCGGGCCGAAGACTACCAGAAGCCGTCCGTCGCGATGTTGCACGGCGAGGGCATGCCTGGAGCGCCTGGCCGTGGCGAGCCAGCGAAGCGCTGGCGGCGGCGGGGCCGTGGCGAGCGAGTCCCTGTGATCCAACGTCGCGATATACGTGAGACACTGTGACAATCACCACTGGAACCCTGGACCCCGCCTTTTCGGGAGCGGCCAAGAGGGGGGTGTCCAAGAGGGGGGGGTGCAAATCATGACCGGCGGCATGTGCGCGGCCCAGCGGGGGGGCCTGGGACATAATGAAATAAGAAGAGGCGCCATGAAATCTGCGGAGATATCATGGCCCACGCCCCCCCCTAGTCATCACCCCCCTCTTTTCCGCTCCCGACCTTTCAGAGCATCTGCTCGAGCCGGGTCGCTCCGTGAGGGTCCCGGGACCCGAATCGCGAAGAACACGCTCGGTCCGAACGAGCGTGCAGCGCCAGGGTCTCAAGGGGCGCTGCGCGGGCGGGGCGGGCCGGGGCCTCCGCCGAGGCGGCGGCCTGCGCCCCGCGCGCCGGCGACTCGCAGATCTCGACGGCGATGGGCCGCGGCGGCGGCAGGTCCGAGGCGCGGCCCTGCCCCCCCCCGGCCGCGGCGCGAGCGTCCAGGGGCCCTGCCTCGTCGCCGCCGCCGCCGGCTCCACCATCGCCACCGCCGCCGTCGTTGTCCTCGTCGTCGTCGTCGTCGTCGTCGTCGTCGTCGTCGTCGTCGTCGCCGCCTTCGTCGCCGTCGTGAACGTCGTCGTCGTCGTCGTCGTCGTCGTCGTCGTCGTCGTCGTCGTCGTCGTCGTCGAGTCTCCGACCAATGCTCCGTTCGGGCGCTCAGCTGCGCGCCCCGTTGCACGGCACCTCCGTCGCAGGAGGCCCCTGGGGGCCGCTGCCTCCCTCGGGCGCCGGCGGGACGAAGAGCCCCTCTAGGGAGCAACGAGGTCACACTGGGATGCGGGTGGTCCACGACTCCGCTGGACCTCCAAGGAGCCCACGACAATGGCGACAGTTGCGCAGTTCGCAGTCACCCATGGAGCAGCGAGGTCTCGGCTGGATCCGCGTGGCCCCCTACTTCGCTGGACCTCCCAGGAGCCCCCGAAAGTGGTGACAATTGTGCAGCTCGCAGCCACCCAGGGAGCAGCGAGGTCTCGGCTGGATCCGCGTGGCCCCCGACTTCGCTGGACCTCCCAGGAGCCCCCGAAAGTGGTGACAACTGTGCAGCTCGCAGGCACCCAGGGAGCAGCGAGGTCCCATCTAAGTGCGGGTGGCCCCCGACTCCGCTGGACCTCCCAGGAGCCCACGAAAGTGGCGACAATTATGCACTTCGTAGCCTATCAAGGAACCGCGAGGTCTCGGCTGGATCCGGGTGGCCCCCGACTCCGCTGGACCTCCCAGTAGCCCACGAAGATGGCGACAGTTACGCAGTTCGCAACCACCCAGGGAGCAGCGAGGTCACGGCAGGGTGCGCGTGGCCCCCGACCCCGCTGGACCTCCCAGGAGCCCCCGAAAGTGGCTCCAGTTGCGCAGCTCGCAGCCAACCAGGGAGCAGCGGGGTCTCGTTTGGGTCCTTGTTTGTCTTCAGGAGCCGACAAAAGTGCACCCCCGCCCCAGGAGCTGCGAAGTACCGCCTCGATCAGCGTACTCCCCGACTCCACCGTGCCCCCCAGGAGCCCACGACAGTGACGACGGTTGCGCAGTTCGCAGCCCCCCTGGGAGCTGCGAGGTACCGCCTGGATCAGCATACTCCCCGACTGCATCGTGCCCACGGAAAGAAAACGACGGTTGCGCAGCTCGCAGCCCCCCAGGGAGCAGCGAGGTCCCGCTTGGATCCGCGTACTCCCCGACTCCGCCGTGCCTCCCAGGAGGCCACCAGAGTGACGACAATTGCGCAACACGCAGCGACCCAAGGAGCTGCGAGGTCCGTCGGGGTGCGCGTACTCCGCGACTCCGCCGTGCCTCTCAGGATCCCGCGAAGTTGGCGATAGTTGCGCACTCAGCAGCCCCCCAGGGAGCTGCGAGGTCCCGTCTGGGTGTGCGTACTCCGACACTCCGCCATCCCTCCCATGAGCCAAATGAAAGTGGCGACAGTTGCGCAGCACGCAACCACGAGGGAGAGGCGCAGGAGGAGGCACGAAAGAGGAGGGAGAGGAGGAGGGAGGCGGGAGAAGGTTGAGACTCCAATGCTCTATTCAAAATGAGAACCCACGCAGGATGGCTTGGACTACTTGAGACGCACACAGACCCTTTTCCACGCGGGCCGGCTAAATGAATGGACGCTCCATACGAAAGACCACGGCGCGAGGTCAACCTGCGCCGATGGAATTCCGGAAGGCAGCAGAGTGGCGAAAAATGGCGCAGTTCGCAAACGCCCCGTGAGCTGCGAGGTCACGGGGGGTGCGCGTGGCCCCCGACCCCGCCGGACTTCCGAGGAGCCCCCAGACGTGGCGACGGTTGCGCAGCTCGCAGCCCAGTATCAGCGAGGTCTCGTCTGGGTCCGCGTTTGCATTCACTTTGCTGGACCTCGCAGGAGCCCACGAAAATGGCGGCGGTTGCGCAACTCGCAGCCCCCCTGGGTCCGGGTCCGCGTGCTCCGCTACTCAGCCGTGTCCCCTTGGGGCCCACGAAAAGTGGCGCCAATTGCGCAGTTCACAGGCATCCCAGGAGCAGCGACAGATCCCGCCTGGATTCGCGTACTTCCCGACTCCCGCGTGCCTCCCAAGAGCCCCCCAAGGAACTGCGATGTCCTGTCTGGATCCGCGTACTCCGTGACACCGCCGTGCCTCCCATGAGCCCACGAAAGTGGCGACGGTTGCGCAGTTCGCAACCACCCAGGGAGCTGCGAAATACCGCCTGAATCAGCGTGCCCCCCGACTCCGCCGTGCCTCCCAAGACCCTACTACAGCGGCGACGGCTGCGCAGTTCGCAGTCACCCAAGGAGCTGCGAAGTCCCACCTGGATCTGCGTACTCCGCGACTCCGCTGGACCTCCCGAGACCCCACGACCATGGCGACGGTTGTGCAGTTCGCAATCTCCCAGAGAGCTGCAAGGTCTCGCCTGGATCCGCGCACTCCCCTACTCCGCCGTGCCTCCTAGGAGCCCACGAAAGTGGCGACATTTGCGGAAGTGGCAACCCCCTTAGGACCCGCGTACTTCCCGACTCCGCCAAACCTCCCAGGAACCAACCGAAAAGGCCTCCCAGGAGGCCACCAGAGTGACGACGATTGCGCAACACGCAGCGACCCATGGAGCTGCGAGGTCCCTTCGGGGTGCGCGTACTCCGCGAAGCCCGCTGGACCACCGCTGACGCAAATTAGGGTCTCGATTCCGCCCGATATGCCACCATAAAAGGCATGAGTTTCAAAGATCTCCGGCATGAGAGCAGGGACGGGAATGGAACTGACACGGTTTTCTGCTGATCCGATGGACCACCACCGATGGAGATTGACAGCTGGATTCCTGAATCGGCTGCATCTGCGTGCCCCCCCCCACTCCACTTGACCTCCCAGGAGCCCACGAGAAGCGGCGACAATTGCGCGCACTTCGCAGCCACCCAGGGAGCAGCGAGGTTCTGCCAGATCACAAGCGGGACCCCGACTCCGCCGTCGAAAGAGGCGACAAGCGCGAAGTTCGTTGCCACCCCAGGAGCAGCGAGGTCCCGTCTGGGTCCGCGTGGCCCCCGACTCTGCTGGACCCCCAGGGAGCCCACGAAAGTGGTGCCTGTTGCGCTGTGTGCAGCCACCCAGGGAGCAGCGAGGCCCCCTCTGGGTGCGCGTACTCCGGTCCTCCGCTGGACTCCCCAGGAGCCCACGAACGTGGCGCCAGTTGCGCAGTTCGCAGCCTCCCAGGGAGCAGCGAAGTCCCGTCTGGGTTCCCTTGCTCCCCGACTCGGCTCGACCTCCCGCAGGCCCAAGAAAATGGTGGCATTGCGCATTTCGCATCGAGGTTCCGTCTGGGTCCGCGTGGCCCCCGACTCCGCGCAACTTCCCACGAGCCCACGAAAAGAATGGCACTTGCGCATTTCGCAGCCACCCAAGGAGCAGCGAAATCCGGTTTTGGTGCGCGTGGCCCCCGGACTCTGCTGGAACTCCCAGGAACCCCGCGAAAGTGGTGACGGTTGCGCAGTTCGCGGCCACCCAGGAAGCAACGAAGTCCTGTCTGGGTCCGCGTGGCTCCCGACTTCGCTGGACCTCCCAGGAGCCTACGAAAGTGGTGACAATTGCGCAGCCAACAGCCGCCCAGGGAGCAGCGAAGTCACATCTGGCTGCGCGCTGGACCTCCCAGGAGCCCACGACAAGAGGCGCCAATTGCGCGCACTTCGCAGCCACCCAGGGAATAGCGAGGTCCTCCACACCGCTCGACCTCCCAGGACCTCACGAGAGTGGCGCCAGTTGCGCAGTTCGCAACCACCTAGGGAGCAGCGAGGTCCCGCCTGGGAGCGCGAACTTCCCGACTCCGCTGACCTCCCAGGAGCCCAGGAAGGAGGTGCCCATTGCGCAGTTCGCAGTCCCACGGGGAGCAGCGAGGTCCCGTCTGGGTCCGCGAGGCCCCCAACTCCACTGGACCTCCCAGGAGCCCCAAAAAGTGACGCCAATTGCGCAGTTCGACATCCCCCAAGGAGCTGCGAGGTCCCGTCTGGGTATGCGTCCTCCGCTGCTCCGCCGTGCCACCCACGAGCCCACGAGAGTGGCGCCCATTGCGCAGTTCGGAGCCACCCAGGGCACCCGGGGAGCTGCGAGGTGCCGTTTGGATGCGCGTACTCCCCGACTCCGCCGTGCCTCCCAGGACCACGCGAAAGTGGCGCTAATTGCGCACTTCGCAGCCACCCAAGGAGCAGCGAGTTCCCGTCTGGATGCGCGTACTCCCCGACAACGCTCGACCCCCCAGGACCCCACGAGGGTGGTGCCAGTTGCGCAGTTCGCAGTCCCCCAGGGAACAGCGCAGCATGAGGAGGGAGGAGGAGGAGGAGGAGGAGGAGGAGGAGGAGGAGGAGGAGGAGGATGGGAAGGAGGAGGAGGAGGAGGAAGAGGAAGAGGAGGAGGAGGAGAGGAGGGACAGACGGCAGGAGGAGGGAAGAAGCAGGAGTAGAGAGGAGGAGGAGGAGGAGGAGGAGGAGGAGGAGGAGGAGGAGGAGGAGGTGGAGGAGGAGGAGGAGGAGGAGGAGGAGGAGGAGGAGAAGGAGGAGTGGAGGAGGAGGAGAGGAGGAGGAGGAGGAGGAAGGAGGAGAAGGACGAGGGAAGAGGAGGGGGAGGAGGAAGAGGAGGAGGAGGAGGAAGAGGAGGAGGAGGACGGGTCGCCTAAGCCCTTCGGAGAAACCCTCCACCCTCCCTCATGGGCGGCGCTGGAGGCGCCGCCAGGGGCCCCAGCGCCGATCCAAGAAATCAGCGCGGAGCTCCAGGCCGATCCAAGAAATCAGTTTGAAGGAATCCGTCCGACGGGCGCAGGCTCGCCCGGTCAGCAGGAAGAGCCCAGCCCAGGCCCCCCACGACCTGCGCGGCGCGGCAGGCCGGTGACTCACGTCCATGAGCGGGTGGAGTCTCGGAGAGGGGGTGGGAGGGAGGGTGGGAGGGAGGATAACGAATGGGAGAGAGGGAGAGGGGAGGGAGGGACGGAGAAGTGATGATGAGGATGTTGATGTTGATGCTCATGTTGTTGTTGATGATGATGGTGTTGATGACTACGATGACGATGCTGCTGGTGGTGCTGATGATGATGATGGTGACGAGTATGATGATGATGATGATGATGATGATGATGATGATGATGATGATGATGCTCATGATGTTAGTGGTGATGATGATGCTGAGGATGATGCCGATGATTACTATGATAGTGATGATGCTGCTGATGATTAGTATGATGATAATGGTAGGGTTGGTGTTGATGGTGATAATGCTAATGGTGATGATGATGGTGATGATGATAATGCTGGTGGTGGTGATGGTGATGGTAGTGGTGATGATTATGTTGGTGGTGATGATGATGGTGTTGATGACAATAAGGATGGTGGTGGTGGTGGTAATGACGATGATGATGTTGCTGATGATGTTAGTGATGATGATGACGACGATGACGATGCTGCTGATGATGATGGTGACGAGTATGATCATGATGCGGATGATGATGATGATGATGATGATGATGATGTTGCTGATGATCTTAATCATGATGATGATGATGATGACGACGATGACGATGATGATAATGGTGACGATTATGATGATGATGATGCTGATGATGATGTTAGTAATGATGATGATGATTATGATAGTGATGATGTTGATGATGATTATTATGATGATCATGGTGGGGTTGGTGCTGATGGTGATAATGCTAATGGTGATGAGGCTGATGATAATAACGCTGGTGGTGGTGATGGTGATGGTGATGGTAGTGGTGATGATTACGTTGGTGGTGGTGATGATGATGATGATGATGGTGGTGATGATGATAAGGATGGTAGTGATGATGATGATGCTGACGGTGATGATGATGGTGATGATGATGCCGATGATGGTGATGGTGATGACGATGCTAATGCAAGGCAAGTCGGCCTGGTGCGCAACTCGCGACAATATCCCCAGACTCTGCACCTGCCGCTGCTGCGGGCGCCTCACGCTCGGGCTGGGCTCCACCTCCTCGCATGCTGGGAGTCCTCGGGGATGTGGGCCGCGATGTCGGTCCAGGCGTACCTCTGGCACGACCTCCTGAGGAAGCTGCACGCGTCCTCTCTGGGGCGCTGGCTCCCTGGCGCCATCCCGCTGCACACCGTGGCGGCATCTGCGTACCTCTTGAGCCTGACGTAGCAAAGCACCGCGTCCTGGTTGGTGGCGCGGTACGGGGTGATCTGGTGCTCCCGCATCGCCTCGAAGAGGGCCAGCGCCTCCTCGTCACTGCCTCTGCAGGTCAGGGACCTGATCACTATCTGGTAGGTCTGGGCGTTGGGCTCCACCTGCAGGCTGGGCCCGTCCTTGAGCAGCTGCATCGCCTGGTCCATCTTGCCGAGCTCGCAGTAGGCGGTGAGCGCCGCGTTGAAGTGTACGCGGTCGGGCCTCACGCCCCGCTGGGTCAGCTCGCCGTAGAGCACCAGCGTGAAGGCCGGGTCGGACCACTGGTGGAACGACATCACGCAGCGGACCGCCGTCCAGCTGAGCACGACGCCCTCCCCCCTCATCTTCACAAAGTACTGCACGACGTGCTCGGGAAGCTTGCTCCTCCAGGCGACGATCAAGTAGTCCTGGGCGCCGACCGCGGGGGAGAGCCCGTGCGCCCGGATCGCGTCGAGGAGCCGGAGGCCGTCCTGCCGCAGGCGCTCGTCCCCGAGGTTGTGCACGACGAGCTTGAAGAAGGCGACGGAGACGCGCCGGTCGATCAGCGCCTGGTCCTGGCCGAGCCCCCTCTCGAGCATCAGGTCGAAGATCCCCAGCGCGACCTGCGCGAGGTCCCCCTTGGTGCAGATCTCCATCGCCGCTGCGTAGGACGCGACGGTCGGGGCGGCGTCGTGCATGAGGGAGCGCAAGGCGGCCTTCAGCCTCTCCTCTTGAGCAGGGGCCGACCGTCCCGGCATTCCTATAGGCTTACCACGACATGCTCTTGTACCCAAGAATGTTCTAAGAACAAAAACAATGCTCTCAGAATCCCGATGTGTTAAAACAAGACAGTCTCAGCCAGAAATGCTCTAAGAACATGCCGCGCAGACCACAGACAAGGTTCTTAGAACATTGCTTGGCGGGCTCACAGGGAGGCCAGGACGCTTCGCCACTGCTAGAAGAAGAAAAAACGCCATGCACATATACTTTTGGCACTCTGCGCGGAGCTCTTGGATCTGCGCTGGACCCCCCTCCCCGGCGCGAGGAGCGAACCAGGGGCGGCGCCGGAGGCGCCGCCAGGGGGGGCCAGCGCGGATCCAAGAAATCTGCGCGGAGCGCCACAAGTTTGCGTTAATGGCGTTCGTTCTTCCTCGAACTGCTCGATCCTCGTCGCTCTCCGCCGACCCGAGGCCCGCCTGGGGGGCCACATGCGAACCCTACCCCAATACCCCCCACGATTTCTGAGGGGGAGGGAGGAGGAGAGGACGAGGAGGAGGAGGAGGAGGAGGAGGATAGGAGGAGGAGGATAGGAACGCGAGGAGGAGGATAGGAGGAGGGGGGATGGGAGGGAGAGGCGAACGAAGTGAGCCCCACCCTCCCCCTCAGAAGTCGTGGGGGGTATAGGGGCAGGGTTCGGTCGAGCGTGTCCCCCTAGAGGCGGCTCTTGGGCGACAAATTAGAAGTATTAGAACAATCCAATCAACATGCTCGAAAATTGCATTTTAACCAGAAAAAACGTCCCCAGACTACTTTTGGACTATTTTGGAACGTTCCCCCTGTAGAGGGACAGGCCCGACTCAGGGGCATCGGGAGCGGCCAAGAGGGGGGTGTCCAAGAGGGGGGGGTGCAAATCATGACCGGCGGCACGTGCGCGGCCCAGCGGGGGGGCCAGGGACGTCATGAAATACGAAGAGGCGCCATGAAATCTGGGGAAATACCATGGCCCCCGCCATGATGTCCCCCCCCCCCGTAGTCATCACCCCCCTCTCTGCCGCCCCCGAGGGTGTAGGGTCATGTCGGGCCTGTCCCCCTACAGGGGGATTTTCGACGGAAACTTGAACATACCCCAAACATAACAACAATCCAAAAATAGTCTGGTGACTATTTTTTGCATATTTGTTTTTACCTTTTGGGGGCATTTTGGGGGTATGTTTTACTCTTCGTCGAAAGCCCCCTGTAGGGGGACAGTCCCGACCTTATAAGTGTAGGGCTCGCACCCTGACCTTCCAGGAGGGCTAAAACATAGCACGCGACTTACAAAAACCTCTTCTGCGTCTTGGCTCTAGGCTCTTTCGCTTCGCTTTCTAAGTTTGTAGGCCTCCCGTGCTAAAAAATAGGGTCCGCGCAGGTCCGCGCCTCCAGAAAAGTGTATGTGTACGTCGCTATTGCTTCTGGTGCGCAGAAGCTCCTGTCGACGAAGCGCAAGGGGCCTCTTATCCTCCTCCTCCTCCTCCTCCTCCTCCTCCTCCTCCTCCTCCTCCTCCTCCTCCTAGCCCTCCTGGAAGGTCAGGGCTGCCGCCCCCGAGGGTGTGCAGGGCTCGCATGTGGCCCCCTGCCGCCGGGGCGGCGCCGAGGCCGGCGCCCGGCCGCCGCGCCCTGCCGGGGCCCCCCGCGGCGGGGCGCCGGGCTCCGCCTCGGGGCGGACCCCGCAGGGGCGGCCGGCGGGGCCCTCGGCCCGCGGCGGCCGCTTCCCCGCGGCCGCCTTGGCCGCGCCGGCGCCGGGCTTCCTGCGGCTACCCAGATGGTCTGGTACCGGAAATTTTCGGTAGCGATTTCGACGCACCCCGAATTTCGGTAGCGACCGGATCTTCGTTTGAGGGCGTGGAAATCGCGGATTTCAGAACGCTCTGATACCGGTATTGGGCGCTGCATTTCGGTATTTCGGTAGCGACCGATCTCTGCGGAGCGCTACCGGAAATTTTCGGTAGCGGACCATCAGGGATGCACGTGGGGAGCCCCAGGCAGGAGCGCGAGGCGACAAAGAAAAACAGATCAGGGCGGGAGGCGCTCGTGGCCCAGTTCGGCCTCGGGGGGCCCTCGCTGCAGGCCTCGGGGCCGTCAAGAAACGACTCGGGATGAAAAGCCGGTCCTGGGGAAAGGGTCTGGGCTTCCGGGGGCGCCGCCCTGAAAACATCAGGACGTCGCATGTCTGGGAGTGGCCCTTGCTCAGAGGAACCCTTGGCAGGGCTGAACCCATACGGTGTTTTCGTGTTGTTTTCGTTTTCCCTCGCTTTTGTCTCGAATTCACCTTTACCGCAAAACGAAGTCGAAACGAAAACGACCCACGAAATCACAAAAAAAACACCGTTTAGGTCCAGCCCTGACCTTTGGTGCGCGGCCTATTTGGGGGGCCGGTGGCGAGACCAGACACACGCGCGCAAGATGCTGCTATCGCATCGCGTTCGGCGATCGGGGGACCCCAATGTGCCCGCACCAGAGCGGGTCGCCCGAATTATCGGGGGTAGCTCGGGCCCGGTGCAACTCGGGCTCGGATTCCCGAAGAACGAACCCGAGTCAGCCCTGACCCGAGCTGCCCCTGATGATTTGGGGCTCTGGACGCCCGAATTATCCAGGGTAACTCGGGCCCAGGGTAACTCGGGCTCGGATTCCCGAAAAACGAACCCGAGTTAGCCCTGACCCGAGTTACCCCTGATGATTCGGGGCTCTGGCAAAGGTCACTCCGACGAAGGGTCATTCTTACGTCTAGTCCATTCCTCTCGGCCCCACGGGAGAGGCCGAGCAGGCCAGCGGCGGCGACCAGCGCCGTGGAGAGGAAGCCGATGAGGTCGGAGTCGCCCAGGGCGCAGCAGGCCAGGCAGACCACCGCCACGCCCAGCAGGGACGCGCGGTGGGAGCACACGGTCAGGCTGCTCGCGGGAGCGCGGGCCTTCGTCATAGTAGTGGGAAAGGGCTGCATGGATGGAAAGCTTGTGACAGTGGGTGTTCAAACTGATCGCAAGGCTGAGTAGCTGCCACGCCTTGGGCAACACTGGCTACGGAGGATGGTGCTGCTAATGATCACGGTAATGATGGTGATTATGAAGATGAGGATGAGGATGAGGATGAGGATTAAGATGATGATGATGATGATGATGATGATGATGATGATGATGATGGTGGTGGTGGTGGTGGTGATGAGGATGTTGATACTGATGCTGCTGATGATGATGATGATGATGGTGGTGGTGATCATGATGCTGCTGATGATGATGATCATGATGATGACGATGACGATGACGATGACGATGACGATGACGATGACGATAATGATGATGATGATGATGATGATGATGATGATGATGATGATGATGATGATGATGATGATGATGATGATGATGATGCTGTGATTTGTCTGATGCTGATTTGCTGATTGCTGCTGTGATGATGATGATGATGATGATGATGATGATGATGATGATGATGATGATGATGATGATGATGATGGTGATGGTGATGGTGATGGTGATGGTGATGGTGATGGTGATAGTGGTGGTGATGGTGATGGTGATGGTGATGGTGGTGGTGAGGGTGAGGGTGAGGGTGAGGAGCGAGTGAAGATCGAGTGAGGAGGAGCAGGAGGAGGAGGAGGAGGCAGTAGGAGGAGGAGGAGGAGGAGGAGGACAATGAGAAGGAAGGATGAGGAAAGAGGAGGGAGGAGGAGGAGGAGGAGGAGGAGGAGGAGGAGGAGGAGGAAGGAGGAGGGAGGAGGAGCTCGGGAAGAGAACGGGGGGGTCGAGGGCGAGGAGGAGGAGTTGAAGAGGAGGAGGAGGAGGAGGAGGAGGGGAGGAGGAGGAAGGAGGAGGAGGGTGAGGAGGAGGAGGAGGAGGAGGCGGACGAGGGTGGGACAGAGGAACGAGGAGGCTCGAGGCGCAGGAGTGATGATGACTACTTCCCTGACCCATACTCGAAAGACCCGCACTCGGACTACGGTGAGGGCATTGGATAAGGAATCCAGGGTCTCGAAGCCAATGGAACTTCGATCGTGGTTTGGCCATGGATCTCACCGCCGCCCATATTAGATGAGGACGCCCCAAGGGTCTGAAGCCTCATGGGCACATTCCTTAACCAACGCCCCCACCGTAGTGCGGGAAGATGGCGCCCCCGGGACCCCGAGGAGGGCCTGAGAAGCCGCGACAGTGGCGGAAAACCTCGGGGATCCCCTTCCTTCCAGGACCTCCCCTGAGATCCGCAGTCGCGAAAAAGTTGAAGCGTCACGGAAGATTCGACCAGTGCCCTGGACCCCATCTTCCTGCTGCAATTTTGACGAGCCGCAGGACTCCGCGAGGGCCCTGGGGCCCGAAACCGGGCGAGATCCTACGCTGTGACCAAATCGCGACGCCAAGATCTCAGGGCATCTTCTTCACGGCGGCCACCTCGAAGAAGAAAAAACGGCCTAAACATCAACTGTCAGCGCTCCGCATGGAGTTCTTGGATCTGCGCTGGGCCCCCCTCCCTGGCGCGCGGAGCGCGCCAGGGGCGGCGCCGGAGGCGCCGCCATAGGGGCCCAGCGAGGATCCAAGAAATCCGCGCGGAGCGCCAAAAGCTTTTGGTTGTGCCGCTTCTTCCCCTTCGAACCGCGGTGCGGACCCGGCCCGCCCACCCCACCCGCCGCCGCCGGCCCCGACCCCCCGAGCCCGCCGTCATCACGTCCAGCGCGCGGCGGCTCCACGCAGCCGCCTCGTCGGGGCTCGAGCGCGCGCGAGAGCAGGCTGCCCCCTGGAAGGGCCCGATGGAGGCCATGCCGCGCCCCAATGTCGCCGCGGAGGGTGTACGGTTTCCCCCGGGGCCGTGGGCGACCCGAGGAGGAGGAGGAGGAGGAGGAGGCGGAGGAGGAGGAGGAGGAGGGGGAGGAGGAGGAGGAGGCAGGAGGAGGAGGAGGAGGAGGAGGAGGAGGAGGAGGAGGAGGTAGGAGGAGAGGAGGAGGGGAGGAGGAGGGGGAGGAGGAGGAGGAGGAGGGCGTGGAGGAGGGGGAGGGGGAGGAGGACAAGTTAGGTGCGATCGCGTCAACATCTGACATCCTACCCCTCCCTCCCATCCCTTACCATGGCGCTGATTTTCTCTATCCGCGGACGCGTGTCGTAGCGGACCTGTGGCTCCGCGCGCGCGTGCGTAGTGGGTGGTGGTGCGCGTGCGTGAGTGCGTGCGTGTGTGCGTGGTTGTGGTG